AATATCATGCACACAAAACAAACAAACAACCCAATGTCTTGAGGTAAACCTCAAGAACTCCAGACAAAATATCAATTAAGGTCACAAGGTCTCCAACATATGTCAAGGTCTCTAATCCTAAGTCCAAGAAGTCCAATACTCCATAATTCCAAGGATAGTAACCAAATAGTCAAAGTATCATTAATGTTTTTTATGGTTCATGTTGATTATTAAGTGTCTTCAAAAAGAAAAGAAAAGCTCAAGTGAACAAAATAAAAATGTCAAAAAAGTAAATGCTCAAATGAGCAAAGATGAAAATAGGATGAAATATAAATGCTAAAGTAAATGGTACATAAAGTAAAAGCATAAAAATGAAAGCATAAAATAAAGTCAATTGTTAGAAGTTAATGGTTAGTTGGATGACCATCTTGAAACTTGCATTTGGAACTCATTAGAGAATTGGTAGAACCAAAGCCTCTCAACAACAAGTTACATTTGCTTTTTGTCAAGTATATCATCCATGTAATAATCTTCAAGGCAACATTTAATGATCAATGATGTTTAAGTAATCCGCGTTGACCAAAATTGATGAAGATCTATTGGAGGATAGGTAGAACCAAAGCCTCCTAACAATAAATCTCAAGGTTAATGGATCAAAGGATTCAAATTAACATACTTGGGCTTGCAAATATAGGTTTGGGCCTCGAATGATCATTTTCTCGAAACGGGACAAAATTTAACGTTGTTAAGCAATCGTAAGTGGACTTATATGGAAGTCGCACCTATTTTGAGGCCGGTCAATAGCAATTTATATACTTCATGTTTGGGTAAATGATATAGAGATCATCATCCCTTAACATGTAGCACAAATAAAAAAGAAAGGGATAAGATGAAGAGGGAGGGGAATGATAAGCTAATTTGTATCACTACCTCAAATTTCTTTCATCTTTAAATTCAATCACTCATCTAGATGGATTAAAGTACTAAATATATCATTAATTCAAAGCACAAAAAATGAATTGAATAATTCACTCTTTGGTAGATTTGGATCAATGAACAATTATCCAACTTCATATACACCCAAAGTCCATTGAATTTAAACAGAAATTGAACATTTAAAATTGCAATCCAAATCAACAATCAAAGGAGTGAGTAAAAAAAGATAGATGGATCAAAACAGCCCTAAAACAAGGCAGAAAAAGCATTTTGACGTTGTTACAATCGATTGCGCTCTGACAACAATCGATTGCATTAGTGTATTTTTTCAAAAAAACGTGAAAATCTTCTGTGATAATCGATTGCACTGTTACAGCAATCGATTGCACTCTATTAAAATTAGAAAATCAGCATTTCAAAAGGCCAAATTCTTGTTCAAACTTTCCATCAAACGCCTTATGATCATGAATTCAATTGAGCACGAAAATTCCATCAAATTATGAGAAAATAGCACCAATGGAATAACAAAATAATGCTCAGTAAATCAAGCCCAAAGATCAATAAGAGATCACATTGTGAAAGATGAAAAATCCAACTTACCAAAGATAAATCTAGAGAATTATCAAAACAACTTCAAGAATTTGCTTCAATTCAGCCCCAAGAATCAATTTCTCAAGCTTGGATGTAGAGAATTGATGAAGAAAAAGTGTTTGGATGAAGGTTTAGCTCAAAGATTAGTAAGCTTAAATGCAAAGCTTACTAACTGTTTTTTGAAAATGGAGCTTTGAGTGAATTTGGTAGATGGAGTGAATTGAGAGATTTTTTAGCAAGGTGAATTTGGTTATCAAAAGTTTGAGATTTGAATGAAATGAGGGCTCTATTTATAGAGTTTTGGCTTGGGATTAGTGATGGTTTGGAGTTTTGGTTGAGAAATAAAATTAGGCTTGATAATTAATTCTTGGAGCCAAAATTTGAATTAATGATGTATTTTTCAAAAATGAAGAAAAATTGGAGCCAAAATTTGAATTAATGATATATCTTTCAAAAATGAAGAAAAATTGGAGCCAAAATTTGAATTAATGATATATCTTTCAAAAATGAAGAAAAATTGGAGTCAAAATTGACAAGCTTGAAATTGCTGATTTTTTCAAATTTTCACTTTGTGCAATCGATTGCACTCTGGGAGCATTCGATTGCATCAGTGTATTTTTTTCAAAAATGGCGTAAAATACACTATGTGCAATCGATTGCACTCTAAGAGAAATCGATTGTACAGTGAAAAAATGAAAAATTTTAATTATTTTTCTTTGCAAATAGAGATTTTAGGGAAATAATACCTGAAAACCTTATTTGTCAGATGCTTTGACTCGGTACCTACAAAACACAAATATTTTTTATATTTTGATTAGAAGTTAGTCGACAAAACATATACAAAATACACAATTAAGGTGCTTGGAGATTCCTCAAGAGCAAACTTAAAGATAGGAGATAGAAAAAGAGGAAGAACCAACCCTAATGTGATCTTGTTATGATCGAGTTGATATGATATGATAGGGGAATCTTAGGGGTAAAAATTGGGGTACAACAGCCAGTAACAAATAGCATTCGAAAACACATCTAACATGCAAATTAAATTCCAGAAAGTTAAGTAGAAATCAGTATAAAATATAAGTATACATAATCCCAAAGCAATTTAAGAAAATACAAACCTTGAACTTCCAGCTCGCGCTAAGCGCGTTATCTCGCGCTAAGCGGGCTCATTACAGACCAGAGTGTGCTAAGCGAGCTAATCTTGCACTGATCGGGCTTTACGATTCTTCCAAAAAAACTTGTGATGATAGCATAATCCCAATGCAATTTTTTTCACCCAAAATATGTTTTAACATCCAATTTGTCACGACTTAAATCATTTTAACTCATATCCAACATCTATTGATTAATCAAAACATCTCAACATAATCACATACCTATTTCATGGATTCTCAATCAAAACCTAAACAATACAAACATGGAAAAACTAGAGAAATCAATCTTAATACATGCTACTATCCATCATGCATTGTCAATAATTCCAATAACCAAATGAAAACCCACTCTTACCTTGTTCTAGGTAGATTCCACAACTTTTGCATTCTTGATCTTTTCTCCTCTTTCTCGCTCTTCTCTTCTTTTCACGTGAGATGATTCTAACCTTTTTCATACTACTCTTATTTCTTTTCTTTTATTAAACCCTTACAAAATTAACTCTAGTAACCACTAATGGACTTACTAACACAACTTTCACATTACTCCTCACAATTCATCATTAGGTCTGATTACTAATATTATATTATTTCTATAATAATTATCACTATTAAAAGTATTATATCATAACCAACATTGTTACTCATTATAATTCTATGGTTCAACATACTTAACCCCTCACATACAATATACATCAAATAATCATTTATTCAGAAAATAAAATAAATAAATAATTAATTAAATAATAACTAAATAGAAAATTGAGGTGTTACATAAACACCCAGAATAGTTGATGGAATATTCCATTTTCATTGGCTTAAGTTCCGTCTAGGGCATACACCGGCAATGTCTCCATAATAGAAACAGTTCCAGGAGCATATCTGTGAAGTACAACCAAGTATCGCGGAAATTCTTTGTGCGAATCCTCATAATTTTTGTATACTTGTTCAATCGCCTTGGTCCTCGCTAACCACGTCTTTCTGTATGAGGGAGTATAATTGTATATTGTAGCGATATCAGAGATTATCGTACTCACCTTCAATGATGGATTATTGTTTACAAGAGGTAATACATGCCACACACACACACATTACCAAGAACAAAGACCATACAACTACCCCATGTGGGTCCCTCCAGTTCTCACCTTAGCCTCGACCTCGACCTACATGAGGAATATAGCCCAAGTAACCCAACATACCTACAAACATCACATCACCGTAGCACCCAAGAAACCTATGACTACCAAACACCATAAGAAAGATTTCCTTTTTACCCTACCGATTCAACTGACCAGTACTACCGACCACCCATCCATCCCTATCTCCCATCAACACAATCAAACTTTGAGGGCATGAATAACTAACTTTTTGTCAGCTGATCTTCGAGACTATTTGGTGACTTGACAGATTTCATGAATCCTGATCGCATTGACCTCTTAGGACCCTCGACCCAAACACAAGAGAGACCTCAAAGGCAAACTCAAAAGCTTAGAAGACAACAAATTAGGATAGCACGGGAGTGCGAAACCAACGATCGTTATCAATAACCGGGCAAATAAATAATATATAATTTTTATTCCACGAGTGTAATAATTTTATTAAATAAATAATAGTAGTTTTTTTTATTAATTTTTTTATTATTTAAAAAAAAATAATAACACATAGACGCCATATTAGATGACTATCCAAAACTGCCATGAACCTAAGCATCATCTCATATGACGCCTCCCTTTTACATTAACATGCATGCACCATTTCACATTACTACTTCACTAACCTGGAAATTCAAACTTAATTATTGGGTAATTTATGTGAAAAACAGGTTATTGGGGAATTTTAATTAAAAATATTAATTATTGCAGAAAAAATTTCGATTAGTTACCTCAACCTAAGATTTAAATATATGTTTATAAATAGAGGAAATCATCTACCAAGAAAAAAATTAGAATTTCAATGGAAGGGGTAGCACATGTGATTTAGTAATGTGTGGCCTTTCCAAAACTTGAGACATGAAAACAGACACAGCGTAGAGGCCTAAGGAATCAAGATAGAAACATAGAGCTATTGCAATGCAACAGTAATAGAACCCACCATTCAAATAAGGAATAATATGTATTATTCGTTATTTACTGGAAATAAAACTTAAAAGCTTTGCATTGTAAAAAAATAATAATAATAATAATAAACCAGAACAAAGCTCCTATTAGAGAGAAATTGTCCTAACAATCAAATCACCAATAACGTGAATGATTTCCACACTCTCCTTGCTTCCCTCATATTTTCACTCACTAACCAAATTGTGTCGACTCTAATGCCGCAACAATCACCAACTTCCTGTTCAACTTAGTGGTTGGCCTTAGGCCCAAACCCAGAGTCCTATCATGCAGTTAGAAAGAGCAACTTCAATCTCAACCCAAAACAAAAAAGAGCAATATCAAGAGAATGCGAAGGCATGAATCTACAAACAAAACCATTAGTAGCTGACAAAATGCTTGGTCTGTGAGTTGATGTACACACTAAGATGCATATCATATCAAACTGTTTGACCAATTAAATACTCTGAGCTTATGATAAAAATGCACACCAGAATTGTGCAACTGCATAGTTTATGGATCATGCCTAAGATATCTTTTTCATCATCCTTTCTTAGAATCATAAAATTCCTGTTCTACGTATTAAAACGGAATCTCAGTCAAGTTTGCAAAATATTAAGAAGAAGCTTATGATCTTATTGATGTTGTGCCACTTTCAATCTTAAAAAGTACTAGTTCAAATAATTTTACAACAAGTGCTAATACAGGTAGATGCAGAGAAAATCATAGTTTAAGAGCATCAACCTTTGTTGCAATCGACGAAACAAATCCGCTACTGAGAAGCCTCTCCACATACTTGCCAAGAATATCAACCTCAAGATTCACCTTTTGCCCAACCTTCTTCATAGGAACAACAATCTTGTCCTGAGTATAAGCAACCAGCATGAAATTAAAACAAACCTCCTCGTCAAAAACATCGACCACAGTCAAACTAGTCCCATCCACAGCAATAAACCCTTTCGGCACAATATACTTCAGCAACTCCTTCTCAACCCTAACTTTCACCCATAAAGAATCCCCTTCAGGAACCATAGACACAATCTCCCCCGTGCCATCCACGTGACCCTGCACGAAATGTCCGCCCATTCGAGTCACCGGAGTCACCGCTCTCTCCAGATTCACCGGCGATCCGGTCTCCAATTCCGAGAGGGATGTCTTCCGCAGCGTCTCGGGGGCCAAACCGACGGTGAAATCGGAAGTATTTTTGTCGAATTGTGTCACGGTTAGACATGTGCCGTTGACGGCGATGCTGTCGCCGAGATTGACGCCGTCGAGGACGGTCTTTGCGTTGACTTTTAAGTCGAAACCGCCATTAGAGGATGCTCCGATTTGCTTGACAGTGCCGATTTCTTCGACGAGGCCGGTGAAGAGGCATTGGATTGAGACGGCGTTGGTGCGGAGGTTGATTGGTCTGCGTGTGGATTGGAGGAGGGTGCGAATAGGGGATGATTTGAATTGGAGATGGGTAGTTTGGTAATTATGGGATTTGTGGTGGGTTGAAGCGATTTTGGGGATTTTGGTGGTTAAGGTAACGGAAAATGAAGAAGAAGAAGCAGCCATTTAGTTGGGTTTTACTTTGCACTGTTTGAAGCTAGCAACAGCAAGATTTCAAGTTTTGGAATATGAGAATCCAAATTAGGACAATTTAGTTTCTATTTATTTATACTTTTGTTTATTTGAAGAAGAAAATAAGTAAAAACAGAGGAAAAATTATACTCCCTCCGTTCCTTTTTAATTGACATTTTAGCCAAAAGCTCTTCAACCAAGATACATGAATTATTATAATTTTTTTTCCATTCTACCCTCATTCTCTTTTCAAATAAAACTCATTAAATTATTTAATTCAAATAATTAATTCCATATTTTGGGGCACACAACTCTCTCTTTTCCGTAACTACTCCTAAATTTTTGTAATTAATCATGCATGCTATAAGAATATGTACTGCTGTTTCATTAAATATTTACTTTTACTATAAAAATATTTATTGCTTATTGTTTGAATGAATGGCTAAAGGAAAACTTAAGTTTCCCACCGTAAAAATACTTATTCCCTCCAATTATTTTAATAAAAACTTAAGTTTCCCACCATAAGATTAAAACCAATGATGAGGTTGAACCAATAATAAAAGGAAGCACAAAAAACTATTGATCAACTTATCGATGCAGTGGTGAAGTCATTTGAAAATTTTCCTTCAATTATGTTCAATCGTATATTTGTATCATTGCAATTATGCATGGTAGACATCATGAAAGTGACAGGTTCCAATAAATATAAAATTCCTCATATAAATAAGGAAAGGGTAGAAAGAATAGGACAACTACCGATTCAAATTAAGTGTGATCCAATATTAATACAAGAAGTCAAGAATTACTTAAACATGGAGTAACACTTATTGTAAGTGGGATGTAGTCACATTTGAGATTTTCAAATAGACTTTTTTTTTTAAGTTTATGGATTGTACTCCTAAAATTTAGTTTATGGAATAACAAATTTAGTTACAGTAACTTTTGCCATAAATATAGTTTATGGATGTAGTCACTTTTATCATATGTATTGTGCGTGAGAATTAAGTTTATATTTTCCTAAACTTTTGCCATAAAAAGTTACAGTAACTTCCTAAACTTTAGCAAATCTCTGCACGTAACTTCCTAAACTTTTGCCATGATTTTTTTTAATGTATCAATAAAAAAACAATAAGAATGAACTTAAGAAATGCATTCCTAAATTGTAGCAATAACAAGGAATTCTTCTTCATACTTATTTTATTAAAAAAATACCAATAATAAGGACTTCTTAAATAACAACTCCTACAACTTATGCACTTAAGCCAAATCTAAAATGAGATACTCCATACTGAGTCCACAAATATTTTTCAGTAAAATTTTGGAAGAAGTTTTTTTATCATCTTTTTTATCACAGGTCGAAACTCAGTATGGTGGGAAGATTCTTCTCCGTTTTTTTCTCCTTCTTCGTCTTCTTCAGGAAATTTGTTCAAATCAAATTCATAATCTGCCTCTTCATTTAAATCAAAATCCAGTACAACTCTGTTTCCAGTGATTTCTGGTAAACAACCGCTAGTCTTCCAAACTATCGAATAATCTTTATTAACGCTATTCAATCTCTCTGGTAACTCACAGGATCGACTAGATTGATCCTAGGACTCCTTGGATATTAAAGTTACTCTCACAATCGAACAATTATTCATGGTTGCTATTGTACAAGTGTTTGGTTTATTTCGATCCCTCTCTCTAAGAGTTTAAAATTGTGGTCAAAATGTACATGAAAACTAGGTTATACGAATAAATGCTAATTGTAATGCTGATTGAAGAGACATATAAAACTGCATGAAAAATGAAGTAAATGGTTTCGATTTGCAAAACATTTAACATAAAAGGTTTCTGGAATGTAGAAGTTTAAAACGTGAAGAAAGCGTTTAATGCAATTTTAAGTAAAAGGATGCGTTTGAGAAAACAATACTTGGAAGTAAAGGTATTGAAAGCGTAACAGTTCTCTGAAATATAAAGTGCTCGAAATATAAAGAAAGCATTAAAGAGTAAAACTTTGAGGAAAAGACTTTGAAATGAAAAGACAATAAATAAAGAAACTTGTAAATGTTATTCGATAAAAAGAAAAGAGGAAAGTACTGGAAATGGTAAAAAGGCTTTCATTAAATTAGAAATACATGGTGCTATCATACATACATCTCTCTTGCATTCGTTTCCCTTGCCATGTGGTAGTTTGAATGTTATTGAGTATTTTGTATAACAGATATGACACACTGAAATCCTAATACTAAGACTTCTATTTATACTAATTCGACCCTAACGGTCTCGCTATAGGATCATGCCACGTTTCGAACATGCAAGACAATGCTTCTTTCATCTTTCCACGTGTCCCCAAATGCTCCAACACAAAACTTTCAAACTTTGAAAGTCCCGCTTCTATTTGAATTTTAAATGCTTTAGTGTTCTTCCGTTTCGAACGCTCTTCCCAAACCTAGCCTCGCTGTTGTTTCGAGACCCCTTTGGATATTTTCCATGATCACCGTTCGAAGCTTCAAGCTTTGACACACTCATTCGAAACACTGCTTCTGCAACTTCGAAATATGGTGTTCAATTCCATTTCGATCAGAACTTTTAACTCTTTTGAATTCTAGATAACATTATCAAAATCTTCAGCCAACAAATTGCCCCTTTAAAATATGTATTTCGATCTCTTTGAGAAATACCTATTTTAAACATTTATACAAGATTTTGATAGGATTTTCGAATCATCATAACATTTAATGCCTTTGACTCCAGTCACATCAATCATAGCACCTTTTGAGTTCCTTAACCGCCCAGAGTCACTTCACAGCGTGGTGCAGTTATAAGTAATGATTGTTTTTAAATCACGCCTATTACCTATATCAACTTCTCGCCACCTCTTCATCACACCAACCCATGATCTCCACGTATCACACTTTTACTCGGTGGATGTTTAATCTTCTCATTATAAAACGCTAATTTACTCTTCCTTTTTCTTTTTACACTCTAAATCCTTCATACTCTGGATTTTTACTCTTCTTCTCTCATAAACAATCTAAGCTCTCAAACAACAAAAATGTCTTCTTCCACCTCTTCCCAACTCAAGAAAGTCTCAAAGAAGAAGGGAAAGACTACAGGAGCAACCATGGAGAGTAAAATCGTCACCATTCAAGGCCAATCTGCTCTTGCTCCTCAAATGATTTCCAAAGAAAAAGAAATGCTGTACGCATCACAGGTACTCATCCCTACCCATGTTGCTGGTAAGAGGTTAGCCTTAAATGGTCCTCTTACAGTTTTTGAAATACTAAAGGACACCAGGACAATTTTTCCCGTATGTTATAGCTTCAAACCTTTATTCAACAAAATGGATACCCCTAGGGTAGTAGAATCCCTCAGTTCGAATACCGCAGAAACCCCAACTGTTCCTCCCAAGGACCCATTTGTTTTGGATTATGTAAAAAGCAATTTTAAACCATTTAGATCTTGCCCTACTTATCATATTGCCTATCAAAATTGGTTCGCGAAAGTAGAAGCCAAAAAATCCCAGCAATGGGAAGAACTAGGCATTTATAACCTCATTAAGCTGTCGAAACCTGGATTCACCTATAGCCATCCTTTGCTGTTTGCGTCCCTTTATTTCTGGGATAGTACCTACAACACTTTCCATCTCCCAGGTGGAATGATTACCCCAACTTTCTTTGATATAGCGGCTATTACTGGGTTATCGCCAGTGGGAGAAACTTATGTTCCTGACAACGAAGAACACTCCAGCATAATTGACTTCGAAGTCAAGTTAGCCAGCTTTTCCAAATTTATCAGCCATTATCATGCTGAAGGGGATAATGTGTCTGACATAGAGCATATTGCATTCTTAACCCTGTGGCTGTCTAAGTACGTTTTCTGCAGTAGATCCCTGCAGGTAGCTAGTAGGTTCATTCCTCTAGCTAGGGATTTACACGAAAATCGCAAAGTGTGCCTAAGTGAATTACTCTTAGTTGACCTCTATGAGAGCCTGAGGTCAGCCGTTTCGAGTCTCAAATCCCACACCTCTAAAAACATTCTATTAGCTGGCCCATTTTGGTTACTCCAATTATGGCTAAACGCCATGTTCGAACCTTCTTTACCAACCGCTAACACTATAGATGAGCAAGATTCGGAAATAAGTGACAGGATAGTCGAAGGCACTAGGCTTCGAAGACTAACTCCTAATGATGACAAGGATGACTTCAAGGTTCAATTCTCGAAGTACATCATGATCCTCTCCAAAAGGCATAAGTTTGAAGAGAGCATGGCGCCTTTCGCTTCGAGGGCTCATGGACCTTCTTGGTTCACCATGGCTCTCTCAGAAGCCATCAAGAGCAAGGAGATCCAAGATGTATGGAGAGCTTTCTTGCTTCCTAGACTCATCTCTTCGAGGATAACCCCAGCTAAGAACCAAATTCTTCTCTTTGCCTACCAACCAAACTTCGTTTCGAGGCAGTTTGGCTTATGCCAACTGATTCCTGAACCTTTGTTCCAAACTGAGAGCGCCATCACATCTGGTCGAACTTTCAAGGCAAGGGAAGCCAAGATCCAACAAGAACAATATCAAGGCTTTGCCCAATTTGAGCTGATAGCCTTCGAACCTACCCATCTCGCGGCTAAAGGATTTCTGGAGTGGTGGATTAAGTTTTATCAAACTTGCATGTTCGATACACTTACAATTCGACAGAAACTAATTGATGCCTTCGATGTGCAGGTACCAGCAAAGAAAGGTATGTTTACTCATGCCAAAGAGATAAAAGCTTTTCAAAATTATTTTGAAACTACTTACGACCCCACGCGCTTGGACTCCACTGTGCATCAAGCAGCTGAGACCTTGAAGGAAAAATTTAAACAAAAAGTTTCTAAGCTAAAACTTCCTTCAGGGCTGTCACCTGAGGATAGGTATAGGTTGGCATTCGAAATGCATCCACCGAAATTTCCCAGATTACCTACCTCAGAACTGGCTCTGGCTTGGTTTCCCCCATATCCATGGTGGTTTACTTGCAAAG